TATATATATATATATATATATATATATATATATATACACACACATACACACACAAAGTATATATATATATATATATATACACACACATAGACTACTGGTCAAAAGTTTTTGCACACACTGAGGTTTTCTACATTTGCATGTTACTCACTTAACATTTGCTAAAAAGACACTCAATATTCTTTGCTGACAAAAATATTACAGTTTGTTCACCATTCGAGTACCCTTATTAGCAAGAAATTTAATTCAATTATGTGACATGAAAATCTATTTCATCCCTCATAATTAAGTGCTCCTAGTTTTCTGTTCAGTGTAGTACACTCCGGCCACCTGATCAGGGAATGACAGAATTAGGCCTGTGTGTGTGTATATATGTATGAGGAACCCATATGTAATGTGTGTGTATATGCCAGTGCCAGGTAAAGGTGAGAAGGTGTGAGTAGCTTCTGGAGTACCTTGGGTTAAGGTTTGCTCGGGATTCATTGCCAATGGGATTCAAACCCTTGATAATTATATATTACAGCAGGTAATTCAAATCTTTTAACTGGTACTGTTTATAGAGATGTATTTTTGGTCATGGATGTCAGTATATTGTGTTGTATGGTGCTGAGTTCTCAAGATTAATGCTTATTTTGAACTGAACTGATCCTTCACTTTTTGCCCATGGCTTTGGCTTTTGAGTAGAACTTTGTTGTGAAGGCGGATGACCTGGAGCAGATTTGCGAGTTGGGTCGGGGGGCCTATGGCGTAGTGGACAAGATGAGACACGTCCCCAGTGGCCTGATCATGGCTGTGAAGGTGAGCAGCAGTGGGCAGAGGCATCCTCTAGGACCGCTATAGACCTCAGTGCAATTTTAGAAGTGCCCTTTATATAAAATAATCAAGGTGTTTCATTTTTTTACAGGCATTTAAAAAATTATTCAGGTGTGTATACAAAAAAGTACGCAAAAATACGCATCTTGGTTGATTTTGTTGAATATGATTTGAATTGTTGGAATAAAGGACAGTACTGTCTTCTGTGGTGATCTTGACAGACCAGTTAACCTGTGGGAATTTCACAGCAATCTCACCACAGGGGCATCTCCAATCCTACATGCCCTTTTTTTCCAGAGAATACGGGCCACGGTGAACACACAGGAACAGAAGCGCCTGCTGATGGATCTGGACATCTCCATGAGGACAGTAGACTGCTTTTTCACGGTGACTTTCTATGGAGCACTCTTCAGAGAGGTATATCACAGGCACTGCTTTTTTGGTAGTATGTTAAAAAATGCCTTAAAAATCGTCCCCTTGAAACCATTCTTATTGGTGGAGGTGAATGCTGTGCTCTGCCTCTCTTGGCTTATCCTGTTGGATCTTTTAACCATCACAAGGGCGATGTGTGGATCTGCATGGAGCTTATGGACACATCTCTGGACAAGTTCTACAAGCAGGTGATCGACAGGGGCCTGACCATCCCAGAGGATATCCTGGGCAAGATCACGGTATCTGTAAGTGGTTGCCAACTTATTGCTGCTGATTGCCAGAAAGCTTTTTTTTGTAATAAAGCCAGGGGCAGACGTATTCCACTGTCTGATTTGATGAGGTGTTCTGAAAGGGGCTGGTGAATGACATGAGTCTTATGTGATACATCTCTCCCTAACTTTGATATGAGAACCTATGCCTCTAGGATGAGATGATTACTGCTTTCATGGTGAACCATTAAAATTCTTGACAGTTAGTATTACCATTTCAGATTTTAATTATCATTAAAACTGTGGTTGATTGCTGCTCTTTCAAAAACTCTTGGTAAATACTGTCCAGCATCAATCAAAGTGAGCAACAGTCTCCCTGACACAGGCCCAGCATACAATGTGGGTTTGTTTTGTGTCAGTGAAGACATGGCAGAAGGCAGTGACAGCACTCTGTAGATTTTTAATGCTAATACACACTTTGACACATTTGCTTACCAGAACAGCACGAACATACTCGCCTTTGATCTATTTGCTTACCAGAACAGAACGAATATACACTCCTTCAATCCGTTTTCTTGCCAGACCAGCATGGACATACTCTTATTTGATACATTTGTTTACCAAAACAGGACAGACATACTCCCTTTCAATATGTTTGCTTACCAGAACAAACAGGAGTTTGGATTATAACTTTGTTGTTAAAGTAGTAATTTAGCAGTAAATTGAAAGTTTCTATTTATGTAGTTTTTTTGCAGGTGGGAAGATGGTCATGGCATTATTACATTCTATTATATTTTTATATTTATGATATTTAAAAGTGAATGTGTAGATTATGTAGGGATGGTGTGTAATTGTGGGCACCTCTGGGGAAGGGGTCATTTCTCATGGATTGGCTCCCCACCTCTGATCTCCTCGCTGTATTCTTAGATTGTAAAGGCACTGGAACATCTGCACCGAAATCTATCCGTGATCCACCGAGGTAAGAAAATGCCAGCTCTCTCTTCACCAGTGGTCATTTGCAAAGACAAACTGTTATTAGTGATCAATGTTGCTTAGAACAGAGAGTCTTGGCCAGTACAGTGATATATGCCTGTTTATTCCATGTTTGTTTTAGGTTTCTTTGCAAATAGAAGCTGCTCATGACCATATGGTAGCTTTTGGTCTAAAATATATTTTTGCTTGCGGCTAGTCTGGTGTTAGCCTTCCTTGACAGCTCTGTTTGTGCCTTCTCCAGATGTGAAACCTTCCAATATTCTCATCAACACTCAGGGCCAAGTGAAAATGTGTGACTTTGGGATCAGCGGCTACCTGGTAGACTCTGTCGCAAAGACCATGGACGCTGGGTGCAAGCCGTACATGGCTGTGAGTAGTGCTGCTTGATTATGACAAAAATCATAATCACCATTATTTTGGTCAATACTGAGATCCTTATTTAAGACATTGGAAATATTATGCATTTATTGAACTTTTTAAACAATGCCTTTTGTCAGTGGATTTCCTTGAATTCTATAAATCAACCTAGAAATAAATATGGAGCTGGAAAGGAGTGACTTACAACACAAGACAAAATGGGAGCAACATTGCGAAAATGTGGCATAATTATTGTTTTATCTTGATTGTTTTGTTTTGATAATCATTGGAAGCCGAAATCGTTATTGTAATTAAAATCTGATGAATTGCCCAGCCCTAGCTGTGAGTTTACTGAGCTTGGGGGAGGGCCATATTTTTGGGGCAGTGAAGAGATTATCAGGAGCCCTGATTCTGGGGAGGGTGCTGACATAATATGTTGGTCTAATCTAGTGTTGTTACTGTTCTTTAGCCTGAGAGAATTAACCCAGAACTGAACCAAAAGGGCTACAATGTCAAGTCTGATATCTGGAGTTTAGGCATCACAATGGTGGGTATTTTAGTCTCGCTGTATCTTTTTTACACTCTATATCCAAAGTTACATTGTTATATTGGAGTGTTACCAGAAGTGATTTCTCATTTCGACCACACACATAAATGCATGGATGAGACAGCAATTGTTTGCTATGTTTATCCTTGTCTGTATGCTAATAATATGAAATAATATGATTAGATCTGTTCTTTGTAAATATTCTGCACATTTGCCTGTATTCTAATATATATTCCAATTAGTGAATGACATTTGTGTTGAAATGCCCCTATATCTTTGGCCCCCAGATCGAGCTAGCCATCCTGCGTTTCCCCTATGACTCATGGGGCACACCCTTCCAGCAGCTCAAGCAGGTGGTGGAGGAACCGTCACCCCAGCTGCCCGCCGAGTGCTTTTCTCCTGAGTTTGTGGACTTCACGTCTCAATGGTGAGTCCCTCATTCAGCTTCTGCTGACGTGATGAATCCACAGCCTGGGGCCTGTCAAATGCATGTGCTGAAAGAGAGGAACCAGTGTCGTCTTCTAAAGTTTCTGTTCTTTTTTACCAGTTTCAGTTAAAATGCTTGTTGATATACTAATACCCCTCCT